CGCTAAGTTAGTTACTTTTATGCGCACCCTCCTTATCTGCTGTTCATTTAATTCCTGGCCTGCTGTTCTGTCTCTTTACATTATAATACATAAAGCAGAAATTATTTTTTGATAAAGAATTACACATAAGTAAAACTTAGCAGGTTGTGCCAGAATGCTTTCATGACAGGTTCACTAGCTTCCTGTTTCGGTGTCATTCCAACCAAGAGGCCGGTAGGAACTTAGAGGTGATTCTCAGCTCCTCGAAAACTTAGCAGGTTGTGCCAGAATGCTTTTATGACAGGTTCACTAGCTTCCTGTTTCCGTGTCATTCTAACCAAGAGGCCGGTAGGAACTCAGAGGTGATTCTCAGCTCCTCACTTTTTGACTACTGATGACAGATGTGGGCTGGCTTTCTCCTCCTCCTGCATCCAGATCTGATTCGGTCACAACTGAAATGGCAGAAATGGGCATAGGAGAGGCCGGGGTGGGCTGAATTAAGGGAACGTTGATGCAGCTTGTGGGAGCAGCGGTGTGGGTGTCCTGTGTCTGATTCTGAACTGGGAGCTCAGCATGTGGATTTTTAAATCTGAAGACGGGGGTCAGGTACAAAGTAGGAGGATACTTGTACAAACCTGGGTCAGCCCCCAGGATTCTACAAAAATCTACAAACTAAATAACTTGTGCAAGAAATGAGATCTCACGATGCAACAGGGCAAGATCTCAGCCACCATTTTGTGGGAACAAACGTGGGGCGGGAGTTGCCCCCTGAGCCAAGTTGGTCATGCCAGTGCGAGAGGGGGGAGGGGGAGCCAGGACAGAGGAAGCAGCAGCAGCACTACAGTGAAGCAGGCTGCCGGGTGAGTGGGCAGGCCAGAGAGCAGGAGGGAAGGATGGGATTCCTCCCTCCCCTTCAAGTCTTGCAGGTCCCCTGCTCCTGCGTGTATAAGTTTAAACCAAGAAAAGGGGGCGGGTAGAGTGCAATGCTTTTAATTATTGCTGGTTCTGGAACTGAAGCATAAAGTGTTACTGAGCATGTGCAGAATGTCTTTTCCTCACCCCTTCAGTAACAGCTGCCTTTTTATTTTTGTAACAGGCCTCACATGTGTGCCTCTGATTGCATCCTGACGGTCCCAAATGTAGCAGTTAGTTTTGGTCCACCTCTAAGCCAAGAAAAAGTGCTACATTTTCGTGTGCCAGGCTTATTGGAAGCCCGTGAGAAGGGCTGGTTTGAACACTACTCACTTAATTGAACCAGACCCCTAGCATATCTGGGTTGGAGGAAAGGCTTTTGGGGTCAAAGACTTGAGCCCTGACACCTCTCTTAAAAAAAATAGAGTGTCTCTTAGTTCTCACTAAGGTGGCAAATCTGTGCTGCTTGATATGACTCTAAATTCTGTCCCCAAAGAAATCGATCATGTCTGAGAGAAGGGTTCTGGCCTTCCGTGTATATAAAAAGCTTGGGATAGAATCTCCTTTCTCCTGGTGTGCTAACCTTATATATACATTTAAACATGTATATGCATTTAAAACGTTTTTTGCCCAGAGGGCTTAATCAGCTGATCCTCAGCGTGCACTCTGGACCAGTGACGGCCCACCTCCTTGCACCTTAAAGTTACTTGGGCTGCAAAAGGGCTGGCTTTTTGCACGACTTCCCAGGGCTCTTCTTTTGCAAAAGGTGGGACGAGCGTTTCATCTTGACCAACTGGTGGCCCAAGAGTCTGGCAAGGAAACAAACCAAATGCACCGAAGCCACCTTCTGAAGCAGAGCCTGGGATCCATTTAACTTCATATTGACTGGCAGCAGTTCTCTGTGTGTGTGTGTGGGGGGGCTCAGTGAAAGTTGCTTTCTATGCGCTACGACATGAAGAGATGTCAGGCCATGAATCTGGGACCACTTCTGTGTTACAAAACAGGTGCTCGGCCACTGGATTAAGACCCTTTGCCAAAGTGCTGCAGGGAAGGCTCTGACTTGAGACTTTATGAACACTGTGTGGCACGGTACTGCTGGGACTGTGTGTCATTCTGTATGCAGCGTGTGTGCTCCAATGCTGAAAGCGCTTTCACACACACTAAATAACGCACTTTCAATCCACTTTCAGTGCACTTTGCAACTGGGTTTTACTGTGCGAAATGGCACAATCCACTTGCAAATGATCATGAAAATGCGTTGGAAGTGCATTGTTCAACATGTATGAAAGTGCCCTAAGTTTTGACTTAACAGAGTTACACCGTTCTAAGCCCATTCTAAGGCAGTTGTTCTTTCAGCCCCCCACCTGTACCTGTAAAATTACTACCATATGCTAAGCAGTATCAGCAGGGGTCATTTCGTAGAAAAAGAGGTGCAGGAGCTCATTAGCATAACTCATTAGCATAACTTATTTGCATATGCCACACCCCCTGACATCACTGGAAGTGTGTCAGAAGGCAACACCCACCGCTCAGGCTCCACTGGACTGTTTCAGATTGCTAGCTATTGGGGGGGGGGGACATGCAGATCTGTCCTCACAGAGGAGGGAGAGCTTGTACCTGAATAAGACTTGGTCTTAAAGGTGCCACTGGACTGTTTTGGATTGCTAGCTATGGGCGGGGACGCACAGATCTGCCCTCACAGAGGAGGGAGAGCTTGTACCTGAAGGCGGGCCGGAGGGGGGAGGCTCTGCAACCTACCTAGCTGCTTCTTGCTCCTCGTGGCCCAACTGAGGGCTGCTGGGAGCAGGGGGCAGGGCTTGTTGCATGTGCCCGCCCCCTGAGCTCCTTACTGCCAGAGCTCCGCTCCTGTGCGCTCCCGCAGGAAATGACCCCTGAGTATCAGATAGCATTTCAACCCTCCCCCCTCCTTTCCCTTGGGCAAAGGTTGGACAAAATACAAACTTTAACACAGAAGTAAGGTGTTCAAATGGTATCTACTTCAGGGCAAGCCTTCATATTGTACAAGAGAGGAGGGTCTTTCCCGCCACATCTTAGTAACATATGCTTCAGTCCCGTGACACATCTGTCATTCTGCTCTTTTCGTGGGCTAGATTGTGGCTGCGAACTCCTCCAGTCCCACACCAGCTTCCGCAGGACTCTGGGAGGGCCAAGTAGTGGAAGATCCTGGAGCCGCAGGAGATTCCAGTGCGGAAAACCTCTACTTCCAAGGTAAGGGAGAGGCTGACTTTGAACTTGGAAGAGACACGTGGGGTGTGACTGTGTTAGTTCAAAAGCTTTAGAAAACCGAAGAGGGCTACTGCAGAACGTGAAATACGAAGTATTGTTATGGGTGTTAGTTCAAGCTGAATGCCCCTCTAGGATCTCTGTGTTATCGTGTGTGCTCAGGAGAGATTCTTGTATGCTACTCCTTGTCTGGCAGGGATGGAACTGTTTGAAGAAGCACTGCAGAAGTGGGAGCAGGCCCTCACAGTCAAGCAGAGAGATCCAGCCAGCCCTTCAGTCACTTGGGACAATGTTAAAGAGCCAGAATTGCTGCCGGAGGAGCTGCCAGATGTAAGTCCCCGCTGGTTCTTTGGGTCTGCAGCATTCCATGACACCCAGTCCAGAGCCCAAATGTGATGTTTTTTAAATGAGTGAATGAACTCCAGCCCTTCTCTGCTCTCTTCTCTCCCTTCTGTCCATATACATCTCTCCTTTCTCTCTGCCAGTATAACTATTTGGGGGGCACTGAAGTCCTCTCTAGACCCCCACATTCAATACCTGATATCTCTAGTTTAGTTTGCCAGTGCTGAAAAGAGCTCACAATGCCCGAGATTCTGGACAGCCGTGGTCAATCAGAGAAGGCAACACTGGGCTAGATCGCCTCTCTCCCATCTCTGTTTTTGGATCACTGCCTTGTTCAGGTCTCCTCGACCCTGCCTTCTCCTCCCTCTCCTTCCTGACCTGCCACTTTGTAGGACTTGAGCAACAATACCAGTGGCAGCCAGAAGTATTGTTGCTTCTCTGTGACACAGAGACAGCTTGGCCAACTGCTTCATCACCACAAAATATTAAATTTTCACCTTGCTCTTCTTCTTCCAGGGAGCAGAGGGCAACGTGCATCCTCTTCCCCATTTTAGCCTGACAAGAACCCTGAAGGATAGATTAAGCTGAGAGAGGGGACCGAGTTCTAGTCCAGTCACACTAACCACCACTCCACACCTGGCTGTTTTAAAAGCTCTTAGGATGCATTAGTACAACCTAGATTTCAGAGTCTGCACTGGTTCCTTGTCGTTCTTCCAGGGCAGCTGTATCTGCTGTTCTTGACCCAGAAAGCCCCAAACATCTTCTGGAGCCTGACAAACTTTGGGAAGAGACTCTCCACGCATCCCATCTCTTTTTGCCACCTTTTTTTGTATCAAAATACAAGAATGGGGGTGGGGATGGAGGTGTACTTAGTGGCTCTTCGTAGCTTGGGATGCTTTTTTTTTTTTGTAGGTTTGCCAAAAATCTGAGCTTGAGCCTTTTCTGGAAGTGGTGCAGAGCTGCTTACTTAAGTGGGTTCTTGGTGTTGAGAGGGTAGCTTGGGGATTTTGGCTGTGGGCCTGTTTCTTTCTTTGGAGTTGAAAAACCACTGAGCTAGAAAATATTGCAAATACTGGTTTGAAGGGGTAATGATAGGTAAGATCCAGCCAACCTGAATCACTGTTTTTTGTATTTTAAGCAGGAATCCCAGAAGAGGGAGTTTGCAGAAAAGCTTGAGTCTCTCTTGCACCGGGCTTATCACCTCCAGGAAGAGTTTGGCTCCACGTTTCCTGCCGATAGCATGCTGCTGGACCTTGGTAAGTGATGCTGGGGGCCAGCCGTAGAATATTTTTTCAGGCATTTTCATCCGTTCCATAAAGTCTAGAAACTTGATTCTTAAAACTGACATTTGGAGCATTTTGCCTGGCCTGGCAAGCTGATTTTGATGTCACAGGTTGGTGCTGGGATTGTCTTGGCCACTCCTTCCACAGAATTTGAGCAGTAATAGATGAACAGCGGAATAAACTTCCTTAAAAATGAAAGCAGTGGAAATAAAACCTTGCCCTCTTGTTTACTCTAGACTTATAAAATATTGGTATCTAATGTGTACTAAATGCAATTGAAATTCTGCAGAAGGCTATCCAAATTCTGTGCCAAAACAAGTGGAATTCTGCAGTGTATGTAAACTTTACGCTAATTGAACAGATTTGCATAATTCTGGTTTTGTTATTCGTATGAGGGGCAATGACTGTGAAATCTTACGCAGCCATACCCGGCTTCTGAAATTTCTCAGCTGTTTCACATGACAAGGGTGCATATTTTCAAATCAATTAACCATTAGAAACATGCTTTTCTAAAAACGAACGTTAAATTCCCAGGAAGATGGTTTCTGTACCCAGGTCTACATTTCTGTGAAACTCTGGCATAAGCAGGCCTAAATGCCTTACTTGGGAATCTCCCAGAAGTGTCTAACTGAGCACTGCTGGAAATAGGACACTCATCTAGATGGACATTTGGCCCGATCCAGCCAGGCTCTTATGTTCTTATGAAAGGACACGTTCACTGGGGTTCTGATTCTCTGTTGTTGCTAACAGCACTGCTGGCAGCTCTGGCAATGGCACTGTAGGGCCCCTTACTGGAAACCACTTAACTGAGAAGAATTTGCTGTGAAAGGCTGCTCCTGTGAGGTCTATCACTTATTTTATGTTGCACTACCAACGGATATGAGCAACAAGAGCCATGTCTTGAGTAGCTTAGTAAAGAGGAATAGAAGAAGGGTTTCAAGGGCCACGGTGGCTCAGAGGTTAAGATGCTGAGATGCAGACTGGAAGGTCTGTAGCTCGGCAGTTTGAGACCCAGGGTGCCGCATGATGGAGTGAACTGCTGTCTCTGGCCCCAGCTCCTGCCAACCTAGCAGTTCGTAAGCAAGAAATTTGCAAATAGATAAATTGGTACCGCTTCAGTGGGAAGGTAACAGTGTTCCGCGTGCCTCGGCGCTTAGTCATGCCCGCCATAAGACCACGGAAACGTCTTCGGACAGCGCTGGCTCTTCGGCTTGGAAACGGAGATGAGCACTGCCCCCTAGAGTCAGATTTGACTAGCTTTTGAGAAAGGGAAACCTTTACCTTTTTACTAGCAAGGGGTGACGTTGCACATACTGGGTCTTTGTTCTGATGGAGGACAGACAAAGGCTTTGTGGAGGAGTAAGGTTTGAAGGAAGACAGCGATGCAGTCGTGGTTTGAGGGACATGGGGCAGCAAAGGAGAAAAGACCAGAATTGCTTAAGGGGGAAAGGTGGCTTTTCGGTTACTGAGGGTGGGCAGGATGGGGGCTTGTCTGCTTTGCATGTAGGAGCTCCAGGGTCCAGCCCTACTTTCTCCAGTTAGGGGATCTCAGGCAGTAGCCATTGGGAGAAGACCCCCCCACTCCCTGAATTCCTGGAGAGTCAGTGGCAGGCAAAGGAGACAGTAACGGCTGGGATTTATATGAGTTGGGAAGAGCAAAGGTTCTATATTAGCCCTTTGTCTTGGTGATGGTCACAAGGTCATTCCAAATGGGCCAGGCAAAATTTTCCATTATTGCAAAGTACTTTATTATCTTGTTCTTTCTCCAGGGACATCAATCCCCATCCAACACTTTATCCTCACAACAACCCTGAGGGGTAGTTTAGGCTGAGAGTGGCACATGACTGGCCCAGGTGTCATGGCAGAGAGGGTTTCCCAGATCCTAGTCCAATACTCTAACTGAGCACTTTCCCCATTGGTTTCTCACCAATGGTCCACTCCTATGCAGTCCCATTTAGCTTACTCCCAATTAAGTGTGCTTAGGATTGCAGCCTTTGTTGGTTGGTTGTATTCAGAAAAAGGGCTGTTTGTGTTTCCTGTATTGGATGAGACCACAGACTGAGGAGCAAACCCTCTTCCAGAACAAGGAATGAGCCCACAGGCCAGGGTCATGGGGTTCTTCCCCCTACATCCTACCCCGTGCTCCATGCACGTGTCATACCACCCAAAAATGCTTTGGCTTTTCGCATCATGCTTTGCACAATCAAAGATGCGACCAAAGTCTATGATCTGTTGATGGGAAAAGGCTTTTTTTTGCCCCCTCTCTCTTTCGGCACAGCTCTTTGATTCGCTGCAGATTGGAGAAATACCTTTCCCACTCTCTAAGCCAGCTGCTGCCTATGAAGAAGCTCTGCAGTTGGTGAAGGAAGGAAGGGTTTCATGCAGGACGCTACGGTGAGTGACGGATTAACAATGCATGGACTCGAGATATAGGTCACGAAATATCAAAAGAAAAATGGCTAAAGATGTGGAAGTCAATCAAAGTTATGAGGGCAACTAGCTTCAAAGAAAACGTGTTTAAAATGTATCATAGATGGTACTGGCCACCAGAAAAAATAGCTAAATGCTATACCAACTGTTCCAACACTTGCTGGAAATGCAAAACAAGTGTTGGAACCTTTTACCACATGTGGTGGCGGTGCCCAAAAATCCAAAAATACTGGATATGTATACAGAAAATGATACAAGAAATATGTAAAATGAAGTTAGACCTGGTGCCAGAAATATTTCTACTTAACTTACTTCTGGATGGTATAAATTATAATGACAAATATGTTATATTATACATAATAACGGCAGCAAGGATCTTATGGGCAAAGTATTGGAAACAAGAGATCACCCCAAAAAGAGAGGAAGTGATAAAAAAGTTGATGGAAGTAGCGGAAATAGACAAGTTAAATTTAATGCTACAAGGGAAACATGAAGAACTGTTTGAGCAGAGATGGGCAGGACTGTATACATGGTTGAAAATGTATAAATGACTCGAAGGCGTATGTATATTTGAGAACTTTGTTTTATAAAAAACCAATAAATAAAACTTAAAAAACAACAACAATGAATGTCCGAGTGGATGGTTTTGAAGCACTTGATGCCATAGTGCTGCCTTAAGCATGGTGTGATGTTAGGCCACTGCCTGTCGAATGTGAGCTGACTTGAGCATCTAATCCAACATCGTCTACATTGACAGGTCTTTCCAAGGTCTCAGTAAGGCTTGGGAAAGACTACTGCTTAACTTAAATGCTGGACCTTCTGCATGCCAGACATGTGCTTCAGCACTGAGCTGTGGCATCTTGCAGTTTTGGTCTATTTTGCAGGGCTGTTCTGAAGATTACTGTAGGCCTTACATTGCACAGTCCTTCTGTTTCCTCACTCCCGTATCTGCCACAGGGTCCTTTCAAGTAAGTGTGCTCTTGGAGTTCTGTGCTCAGAACTTAATTCCTAGGCATGTGGGAGATCAAGACTCGAGGGAGAGAACACTTAAGCTTCCTTCCCCACATATACCAATTTCCTAATCTGAAATGGCCCTGGGGAGCTGCTCCTTGCTCAATTGCACGAAATTTACAAGTAGCCCATGAGTACATGATGAGTTTCCCCAGTAGGGCAAACAGCAACTCTCTGGGGCACTTTCAGGTTAGGAAAATGATGACGCTACGGTGAGTGACGGATTAACAATGAATGGCCGAGTGGATGGTTTTTGAAGCACTTGATGCCATAGTGCTGCCTGAAGCATGGTGTGATGTTAGGCCACTGCCTGTCCAATGTGAGCTGACTTGAGCATCATTCTAATCCAACATCGTCTACACTGACAGGTCTTTCCAAGGACTGCTCTTTTCAAGAACACCTCTGACAGAACTATGGCTTGCCCAAGGTCATCCAGCAGGTACAAATGGAGGCGTGGGGAATCAAACCCGGTTCTCCCAGATTAGAGTCCATACACTTAACCACTACACCAAACTGGTGTAAGACCCCTCTCCCTGCACACCATGGTCTAGATCTGAATTGGGCTCCTGTATACCTGGGATTTAAATTCTATGTGTGAAACCCCCAGTGTACATCTGTTCGACAAGATCTGTGATGGACATGGGTGGGGGAAATAAGGACAAGATATTGTGCTGTTAAGCCCTGAAATAATACTCAGCATGTTATAAATTCTCATGATGCGGCTTGACTGAGTGGGTCTCTAACAGCCTTTTGCCCTTGTGAATCATGATGAATGGAATAGAAGCACAATCACATCCATAGCCATTGGTCAACAGAGGAAAGTCTTTAGTTGCTGTAGATTTTCCGGGATGTGTGGCTGTGGTCTTGGCATTGTAGAACTTGACGTTTGCTTGAATATATGTTGGAGAAAAACTTTAGAAAACCTCAATTACGGATTCCTCATTTAAGAAATGTGGCTTTCTGCAAACATAAAGACAGAAAGACAAGAAATTGGCTGCTTGCAGTCAGTCCAAATCTCTTCATTTGGGAGTACTTGCTCCTAAAAAATGGAGTGGTCCAATACCATGCACTCTTTTATTTTTCTGTAAATCACTAGTCAAGCTCTATACCTAAAATGAAATGCATTTTTCTTCTTCATATGCAATTTAAATAGCCAAGTTTAACCAGCAAAAAATATTATATGTATCCATGGATATCTAAATTTAGAAATATGAACACTTCTCATCCTGTTACAGATTAAGAGAGAGAAAGTGATATTAAGAAACAACTGCCTGTTATGTAGTTGCTGTAGATTTTCCGGGATGTGTGGCCGTGGTCTTGGCATTGCAAAATACTGTGTCCTGTTTGAGTTAGGCTATGTTCAGCCACTGCTGATTTTTCAGGTTGGCCAAGTCTGCAGTGTCTTTCATGTTCTTTTATTCTTGTCCGAATGCTACGCTGTGTGGTCCCGATGTAAACTTGTCCACAACTGCATGGTATGCGGTATACTCCTGCAGAAGTGAGGGGGTCTCTTCTGTCTTTTTTTTGTGGTGGGTCTGGTTGTATTTTTCTGGTGGGTCTGAATACTGTTCGTAGGTTG